TTTCTATATACCAACAACAAGAAATCAGAGAAAGAGCACATGGAAACACTCACCTTCACAATAGCAGCAAAAAAAATAATATCTCGGATAAACCTGACCAAAGACATTAAAGAGCTATACAATGAAAATTTTAAATCTTTTAAAGAAAGAAATTGAGGAAGACACCAGAATATGGAAGGACCTCCCATGCTCATGGATTGGAAGAATTAATATTGTGAAAATGATCATCTTACCAAAAGTCGTTTATAGATTCAATGCAATGCCAATCAAAAATCCCCATGATATTTTTCACAGAATTGGAAAAAACCATCCTAAGATTCATATGGAAGCACAAAAGACCTCGGATAGCCAAAACAACCCTGACCACTAAGAGCATTGCTGGGGAGATTACTGTACCAGATCTTAAGCTGTATTACAGAGCTATAGTCATAAAAACAACATGGTACTGGCACAAAAATAAACCCATACATCAATGGTACAAAACTGAAGATCCAAATATGAGTAAATGCAATTTCAGCCACCTGATATTTGACAAAGGGGCCAAGAATGTTCACTGGAGGAAAGACAACATGTTCAGTAAATGGTACTGGCAAAGCTGGATCTCTACCTGTAGAAGGATGAAACTAAACCCCTATCTTTCACCCTGCACTAAAGTCAATTCCAAATGGATCCAAGACCTCAATGTAAAGCCTGACACTCTGAAACTGTTAGAAGAAAACATTGGGAAAAACCTAAAAGTCATACATGTAGGAAAGGATTTTCTAAACCGGACATCAATTGCTCAGGAAACAAGGGCAAGAATTAACAAACTGGACCTCATTAAACTAAAAAGCTTCTGTACATCAAAGGAGGCAACTGTGGAAGTGAACAGAAAACCCACAGAATGGGAGAAAATCTTCACCAGTAATACACCGACAGAGGTTTAATATCCAGAATATATAACGAACTCACAAAACAGAGAATCAAGACAAGAAGCAAACCAATTAACAGATGCACTAAGGATCTGAACAGACAGTTCTCAAAAGAAGTAAAGATGGCTATGAAGCATCTTAAAAGATGTTCAACATGACTAAAATTAGGGAAATGCAAATTAAAACCACTTTAAGATTTTACCTTACCTCAGTCAGACTGGCTAAGATCAAGAAAACAAATGATACCAAATGTTGGAGAGGATGTGGGGAAAGGGGAACACTCATACACTGCTGGTGGGGTTGCAAACTTGTTCAACCCCTGTGGAAAGCAGTATGGAGAACTCTTTAAAAACTACAAATAAACCTACCATTTCACCCAGTTATACCACTCCTTGGCATATACCCAAAGAACTCATCCTATTGCAGAGACGCTTGTACATCCATGTTTGTTGCTGCTCTTTTCATAATAGCTAATAGATGGAAGCAACCTAGGTGTCCCTCAATTGATGAGTGGATAATGAAAATGTGGTTCATATATACGATGGAGTTTTACTGAGCAGTAAAGAAAGATGGAATCATGAAACTAGAAACTAGAAACTGTTTTTAGACTAAGTGAAGTAACACCCCCCCCCCCCAAAAAAACTACATATGTTCTCCCACATATGTGGATCCTAGAACCAAATCCTGATAAGTGAGTATGTATCCAGACATAACTACAGGAACCAGGGTAATGGAAAGGAAACAGGGAGGTAAAGGAAAAGAAAGAACCCGAAAGAGAAGAACAGTAGGAAACAGGCCTTAATAAGGGAGATAGGGATAAAAATTGGGTTATTTTAAGGGAGGGGGGAGGGAAGGGTATACAAGGAACCTAGGGGATAAGGGGAAGAAGGAGCTCAACAGAGGTAGAAGTGTATTATTAAGGGAGAAAGAGGGGAAATGGGGGCACCTTAAGTGGGAAAACCATGATGGAGGGGTGAGACAATGTGAGAGATAAATAATGCCTAGCTAGTTTTGAAAACCAGAGGGAAACATATTATTCCAACAACCTACTGACAAATTATACATAGCAGATCAAGAAATATATATCTAGGTAAGGTTTATCTGAGAACAATTGGTCTTTGCCCAAGATTGATCTACATGACACACAGTAATTAAAAGTACCAGGCTGGAAAAACCAAAATGGCGAAGGGCTGTAGCCAAGTGGTCCCTGCTTGAGGCCGGTGTGGGAACGCTCACCTCCCCCCTCCCCAGCCTCGTCCTCGAGGACCTCGGAGTGTGCGTGCGGATGCACCGTTTCCCGGCGGGGCGGGGGCCCAGTGAGAGCCCGGACGCGCGGGGAAGCGCCCACGGGGACCTGATTGCTTCTGTTTTCGTGTATGAAGCGGTTGGCACCACTGAAGTGACCGAATGAGAGACTCTACAGGAGCAGGTAATTCACTGGTCCACAAGCGGTCTCCTTTAGGTCGAAACCAAAAGACCCCAACATCCTTGACCAAGCTGTCTTTATAGGATGGACATAAAGCCAAAAAGCCAGCATGTAAATTTGAAGAGGGTCAGGATGTCCTAGCTAGATGGTCAGATGGCTTGTTTTATCTTGGAACTATCAAAAAGATAAACATATTGAAACAGAGCTGCTTCATCATATTTGAAGACAGTTCTAAATCCTGGGTTCTCTGGAAGGACATCCAAACAGGAGCCAGTGGAAGTGGGGAAATGGTCTATACAATATGTCAAGAAGAGTATTCAGAAGCTCCCAATGAAATGGTCATTTGTGATAAGTGTGGTCAAGGGTATCATCAGTTGTGTCATACACCTCATATTGATTCGAGTGTGATTGATTCAGATGAAAAATGGCCCTGTCGACAGTGTGTTTTTGCAACAACATCAAAGAGGGGTGATGCGCTTAAGAAAGGACCAAATGCCAAAGCATTGCAAGTCATGAAGCAGACATTACCCTATAGTGTGGCAGACCTTGAATGGGATGCAGGTCATAAAACCAATGTCCAGCAGTGTTACTGCTACTGTGGAGGCCCTGGAGACTGGTATTTAAAGATGCTGCAGTGCTGCAAATGTAAGCAGTGCTTTCACGAGGCTTGTGTGCAATGCCTTCAAAAGCCAATGCTGTTTGGAGATAGGTTTTATACATTTATTTGCTCTGCCTGCAGTTCTGGACCAGAATACCTCAAACGTCTACCATTACAGTGGGTAGATATAGCACACCTATGCCTTTACAACCTAAGTGTTATTCACAAGAAGAAATACTTTGATTCTGAACTTGAGCTTATGACATACATTAATGAAAACTGGGATAGATTGCACCCTGGAGAGCTGGCAGACACACCAAAATCTGAAAGATATGAGCATGTTCTGGAGGCATTAAATGATTACAAGACCATGTTTATGACTGGGAAAGAAATAAAGAAGAAGAAGCATTTGTTTGGGTTGCGAATTCGTGTTCCTCCTGTGCCACCAAATGCGGCTTTCAAAGCAGAGAAAGAACCTGAAGGAACATCCCATGAATTTAAAATTAAAGGCAGAAAGGCATCCAAACCCATATGTGATTCAAGGGAGGTAAGCAATGGAATAGAAAAGAAAGGAAAGAAAAAATCTGTAGGTCGTCCTCCTGGCCCATATACAAGAAAAATGATTCAAAAAACCGCTGAGCCACTGTTGGATAAGGAATTAGTTTCAGAGAATCCTACGTTGGATTTACCTTGTTCTATAGAAATAATGATTAAAATATTAAAAAAAAAAAACTTAGCCAAGGATGGGTGGTGACACTTATATTTAACCTCAGCACTAAGGAGGCTGAGACAGGAAGATGATGAGGTTGAGGCTAACCTGGTCTATGTAATGAGGTCCTGTCTGGGAATAATCCCCAAATGAAAACCAACAGCAGACAATAGTGTCCTCCTCCTTCTCCACAGATTATCTGACTCTAGAAAACGAACTCGCACAGGCAGATCTTGGCCTGCTGCAATACCACACTTGCGAAGAAGAAGAGGCCGCCTTCCAAGAAGAGCACTCCAGACTCAGAACTCAGAAGTCGTAAAAGATGACGAAGGGAAAGAAGATTATCAATTTGAAGAACTCAACACAGAAATCCTGAATAATTTAGCAGATCAGGAGTTACAACTCAATCACCTGAAAAACTCCATTACTAGTTACTTTGGTGCTGCAGGTAGAATAGCTTGTGGCGAAAAATACCGAGTTTTGGCTCGTCGGGTGACTCTTGATGGAAAGGTGCAGTATCTTGTGGAATAGAAGGAGCGACTGCATCCTGACTGTAGGACTCCACATTATGTCCACTGCACTCATTTTCTCTAGGTACATTTCAGAGCCCTAAGATTCTGGCTATTGCTATCTTTCTTAAAAAAACAAAAAACACAAAAAAATTCGCAAAAGAAGATGATGCTAGCCTTAACATGTACTTGTCAATGTTATGGATATTGTCATAAAAGATATCTTTTAAAAATCAGAAGAGAGACTTAATTTTTTAAATCTTGAGATTTGTAGAATGTTTCTAGGATAGGATACTAAAAATGAGTCAAACCCATGCATGGTGTTAGAAATTTTTCTAATTATTCCATTGAGTCAATTTTTGTGATTAGTGATTATCAGAGCAAACAGATCATGTAGATAGCACAAGTATTTGGAAAAAAACATTGTGTGTTTTGTTACCAAAATGTCGGAAAAATTTATTTCAATACCCTTTAGATTTCATAAAGTGCGGTGTATATAATGCCTACTGAAAGACTGTAAAATATTGAAATTTTCTTTCAAGCAAAATGTAAAAAATATATTGAGCCTATAAATTGCTCCGTGACTAGACTTCATTGTTGTCTTAATATATTCTTTTCATGTACATATATATGCACATATGTGTATATATATGTGTGTAATTATGTGACCTATGCAATACAAATTATGGGAATGGGCAGCTTTGGAGTATCTATCCCATAATTCTTATTTCAGGAATAGTTACAGTATTTACACAGCAGCATTTCTTCTCAGGCTTTTATTGGGTGCTGTTGCTTGCTATGTGTGAAGAGAAATGTGTCGAACAGTTTAGTGTGTACTGGGGAAGGGTGTGAACAACAGTGTTCCTGGGCTTTTAGAATGCTTTTCACTTTTAGTCCTTGTAACAGCTGTTCAATACCTAAAACAAATTCAAATATCAACATTATCTCCTAGTAAAAGTGACATTTTTCAAATTGTCATGGCACATTATGACTGTAAATGTCTCTCAGTTTTAACATTAAGTCTGTAGGAGTCCCGTGAAGATTCCTGAAATGTCTGTAGTAATTGTTAGTCATGTTTGAATAAGTGTAGTATGAACAAAGTATTTTATTGCACAGGGTTAACAAACAGTATGTTGCTAGCTGAGGCTACTGCTGTTTTACTACAACATTACCTCTTGTTTTTATAAAATGTACCAAGATTTAAATTGATAACTTTATTTTAGATGTAAAAAAAAACGAGTTTCTTTTATCACCAGTGTTAGAGTTGTCTTCTGTTTCTTTTTGTTTTGTTTTGTTTTGTTTTGTTTGTACTATATTATCTGAGAACAACTGGTCTTTGCCTAAGATTTATCTACATGACACATAGTAATTAAAAGTACCAGGTTGGTGGAACTAACCTTCTTGGGTGTTTAACAGACATACTTTGAGGCCTATACTAATTTGGTCAGAGGGACATAAAGGACAGTTTTTGCTCCTTGCTCTCCTAGGTCGACTAGTTCCAGGGGACTATGAGCATCTCCCACAATGTCCTGTAATTGTGGTGGGTCACATGTCCTCTTAATCAAGGAGGCTGGGGAAACCCCACAAGATGGACTTGAACCAGTGTCCAGTCTACAAAGAGGATGATCAACACAGATGAATCATTTCCTCTGTGCTTCCAAGCGAAGCCAACCATGGTCGAGCAGGACCTTTGACTTATATTCACATAGGTATAACTGGTAAAAGAAAGGAGCCAGGGGCTCCTCCCAAGCCCATGTGACCCCTGAGGAACAGATCCTCAAACTACCTTAAGAGTAAAAATAAGTTGGTTTATCTGCATCTACTGTATGGCCTTAAATATCCAAAACGAAAATATAACCAAAGATTAAAGGGGTCAATATAATATCTTAAGAGTCCATATGCTTAGCTAAAGGGTACACAAGAAGCAACAATGCCAGGTAGGAGATACCTTCTTTTGAGTTGTTGGCCAGGGTGGCCAAAGTGATTCCCAGATAGTAACCCAGCATAGAACTGGGAAAATGAACAGCAGACCTCAATCTTATCTAAAGGAGTATTGACAACTGATTGCTCCTAAATGAGGAATAACTGACCCTCCTAAAACAAAGACCTCTAGATAAGCTGACTAGATTCACCAGAAGGGCAAGTAGTGGGGAATGGCTGGGGGTGCTGACAACACAACAGACAGTAGCAGGGATATCAGAGTATAAGGGCTCTAGTGGGGGGAGGGAGGCTATGGGAGGGTGCCATATGGGAAGTGGGTGTATAGTCAAATAAGATGGTTTGGGATGCTCTGTGTGATATATACACACACACTAGCAATAACCAGATATATAGAGATTAGAAACACAGGTGCAAAAATCTTAATGTTAATTGCATTAAAAATTAATTTTTCTATATGAAAATGTGTATTTTCATAATGAAATGGAGATCTTTTTCAAAGGTTAAAACTTCATTTAATTTTATATCTTATAGCATTTATTATGTAACAATTCAAATGTAAACCTAAAAATTTACAGCCAATTTTGAAAGAGATGCATCTTAGCTCAGGAATTTGTTATTGAATATGTCAATGCTCTTGTAATGACATGCTTCTTCTAAGTATGTGTTTATTAAATAAATAAGTAAAAAAATATAGGAAACAGCATTTTTAAAATGAAATGGAAATCTTCTTTAAAGGTTAAAAACTCATTCAATATTATGTCTTTCAGGGTTTATACTGAGTTCAATATTGTTCAATATTGTATAACTGTATTAATTCAAGTGTGAACCTAAAAATTTACAGGCTCATTTAAAAGAGATGTATTCTTGCTCTGGAAATTGTTACTGAATATGTCAAAGCTGTAATGAGATGCTTCTTCTGATCATGTAGTTATTAAATAAAAAAAAAGACTTCACTATAAAAAATTCAATAAAATATACATTGAAAACAAAACAAAACAAAAACAGCAGAATCATGCAGGGACTTTACAGTCTCAGCCCAGAGTCAGTTTCCTGAGCTACCATACAAGCTTCTTGCTTCCTGGATGGGAACTTGGTAAGAATCCTATCATCTTTGTACCCCAGTTCCTTAATTCTTAAAATGAGGCTAAATAATTCAATTCCACTGAGCAGTACAGTGTGTCAAACATAGGTGGCATTATTTACTCACTATTCACAAAAAGTATTTTGAGTCATGTTGTCTTAACTGTGCTATAGCTACTTAAGCTATCTTAGGAAACAGCATAATTAACACACAAAACTCAGTAGACAGTTACATATCTAACAGAAATCAAGAAACCAATCCCATTCAGAAGTGCTATAAAAAGTATCTAAATATGTTCAGATGAATCCTCTTATGAATAGTTTTCCAAAGGCAACAATAATTTAGAACTAATTCCTTAGATTTTAAGATTGCATTCCAATCTAAGTTTATTTAGATAATTTTAAATAATGTTCATATTTATAAAATATATACAAGCATTTGATAAATAAATCTGTGGATATAAAATAACACAACTCTGTTAAAACAAATACATATTTTATGGCTGGAGAGATGACTTGGAAGTTAAGAGCACTGGCTGCTCTTTCAGAGGATCTGAGTCCCTAACCCAGCACCTACATGGTGGCTAACAACCATCCACAACTCCAGTTCTAGAGGATCTGACACCTTCTTCTGATCTTTGACAGCATTACATGACTCGGGTGCACTTATATACATACAGTCAATACACTCATACACTTAGAATAAAAAAATAAAATATTTCAAAAATATATTTATATAAATATAAAAAATGGCACAGTGATGACTCACATGATGTTGACTGTTTTTTAACCTCTGCCTCTCCCAGAAATTTTCCATTGTTAAAAGAGAGCTATATATTAGCAATAAAAAGAAAATAATTTAATTTTCCATTATGAATATATATGGCAGAATATTAAATATATTATTTCTCATACAAGGTACTTATTTTTATTAAAACATGTTGATTTGAAGCTGAAACTTTAAGGTTATGTTATTGCATATTGTCAAACATTTATTAAAAGGCAGTCAAAAAGATATAAAAATGTTGTACTTATGTTAAGAATGATAGTAATAACAAATGGAAACATACAAACAAATGAAAATGGTTCAAGAAATAAAATCACAGACATGAAAGCATTAAAGATTTTCAGATATAAATAGGTAAATAAATTTGTCTATGAATAGGCTAATATGTTCACATTTTATTTTTAAAGTAAATATGCTACTTACAAAAACTTCATGTAGAATGCACATAGCTTTGGGTAAACGACCCTGAAAAATTTACATAGGCACCACATCTTAAAATATTTAATAGAGTTAGCCTGGAAGACACACAGAGGCAAATACAGCTGTGGTCCAATTTTGGCAGCAGAATGTGGCAGCATAGCACTGGTTTCATAGGCATGACAGATGCAAGAGTAAGGGTGTCATGAAGTTCTGTGCCAAGGCTCCAAAAGGCCCCTGAGGCCAAGCAATATATGATGGGATTGTATTCTCTGCAAGGAGTTCCTCAGAAGTGACTCTGAAAGTAAAGTTTAAGCTCGAAGATGTTGAGGATGCTATGACCATGGAAATCCCACAGAGGAATACTGTAGGCATGGAGGGATTTTGCCCAAGAGAGAGAAGCTATGTGTGGACAGGCAGCAGAGCCAGAGGAACAGGGCTGCTGAAGCCTTGCAAGCCCCAGATGCCCAACATGGAGCTGCAGAATGTTAGGTTTGCTCTTTCATTTCAGTCTAGCTTTGGTCTGACCTTGCTGTCTCCATTCCTCCCCTCTCTTGGAATGGGTATGCTTATTCCATGTATTGTATGTTGGAAATATGTAACTTGCTTTTGTTTTCATCAAAGCTTACAAAATTAAGAGATTTCCTTGAATCTCAGAAGAAACTTTGACATTGGACTTTTAATTAATGAAGGAACTGTTAATGATTCTGGAGATCTTTGAAATTGGACTGATTTTTTTTTCTTTTTTGCATTATGAAATGGCCATAAGCCTTGGGAATAAAATTTGGAAGATTAGTTCTTAAAAATAATATGTTTTAAAGCTAGAGAGATGACTCAGCAGTTAAGAACAGTGGCTGCTCTTGCAGAGGATTCAGGTTCAATTCCCAGTACCCACACGGTGGCTAATAACCACCTATAACTCCAGTTCCAGGGGCTCTCCAGGCCTTGTGAGCTCTGGATGTGCATGGGTGCATTTACACACTTGCAGGTAAAGCACTCATACACATCATTTTTTAAATTAATGTGTGTGAGTGTGATGTTAGCAAGCAGTAGACTTGTGATTGGTAATATTAATTATTAACTAGACCGGATCCAGAATAAAGTAGTAGACAAAGTTTTGGACCTATCTGTGAGGGAATGGAGTTAGTTGCAAAGGGAACATTGACTCTGAATGTATTCCATGGACTAGGGGCCTGAGCTGAATAAAAAGAGTGAGCTGAGCACCAGCAGTCATCGCTCTACTTCATGAATGCAGATGCAGGGTGACCAGTAGCTTCATGCCTCTGCCATCATGCCATAGCCATCATGACAGACTACTGTTCCATCTGTGAGTCAAAATAAACGCTTCGTTCCTTAAGGTGATTTTATCAGACATTTATCAGAAATTGCTAAAGACAAAGAGCTTGCCAATAAACACGTATACTGAGTGCTATTTATAGTAGAGATCAACATAGTTATAGTTAGTAGAATATGATAAAATCATATGACTGAACCCTTATATTTAAAAAAAATTTTCAGGACAGGTAAACATTATAGGCAATACATAAAAAACAAATTTTACCAAACTCTGTATTCAGAATGGTGATATTTATCAAATGCATAAAAATTTGCATTATAAGTAACAGAAATACATAGCATACTATTCATAGGCAGTGAGATTATTAATATTTTATATTCTTTTTCTTAACTTTTTCTTAGGTTTATTTCTAGTATTTTCTAACCTCAAAGCACATGCAAAATTTTGCGGTTAAAAAATTTACATTGATAAAAATGAAAAGCTAAAATAAATAAAACATTTGGTAAATTATAACCTGTTGCTCACAAAGCTTTCCTAGATTGCATAGAAACAATAGTTTCCCTAAAAGTAAATAACTTTAAAGTTGTAAGCATTCTAACAAAAATTTGCTTTTAAAAAATTGCTTTTAATTCCAGGGGTAAAATGCTTGGCATTAAATTTCTGGAACTTCTAAAGGGTAATTACATTAGTGATCAGAAGCCTGGAGTCCTGGCACACACCTTTAATCCCAGCACTAGAGAGGCACAGGCACATGGCTCTCTGTGAGTTCAAGGCCAGCCTGGTATACATAATGAGTTCCAGGCCAGCTGGGACTACAGGGAGACCCTGTCTCAAAAATACCAAAAAAAAAAAAAAAAAAAAAAAAAAAAAAAAAACCAAAAACACAAAACACATTAGTGGTCAGAGCTTCTCAAGTCCACACGAACACTGACATTAACACCGTCCAAGTACTAAGAACAGGGAACTTCAATATATATTAATTGGAAATACAGTGATTATCAAAAACATGACCTTACCAGAAATACATAGTCAGTTGAATAGTAAAGATCAACTACGTCAAAATTACAGGTGATATTTTTGAGTGTTTTAAATACAGCATTTCCACTTCTGACTTCCAAATGATAGCTTGCATTAGGACCATTGATTTCATTAGGAGGTTTGCAGGTGACATGTATACTATTCGGTGCCTTCTGGCTGACAACCATGTCCTGGACCTTGCTTGGACCTATTAAATAAAGAAATAGTTGTTAGCTAAATTACTTGATGCATGCATATTTAAATTACTTGAAACACGAATACAATGTAAAATAGTTTAGTGTTCATCTGCATATATGAAAACACAAATTTTAAAATCTATAATACAGCATTTAATAGCATATCACCTCTTCATTAAGTATTAACATGTAAATTGTACAAAAATCCTTTAAGAGTCCATACAACCCCTGAAGGATGAGGTGTGTAATTTAGCAACAGTGAAAAGTGGGAGGGATAAAGTTGGGAAAGGATGCTTGAGCAATCTCTATAGTCTTTCATAAAACCCAGGCCCTCCTGACCTGATATGTTTATGTTATCTTAGTAAACACTAAGGTTTACTCTCAGCAATAACCCACAAACGACTTTAATTTGCTGTGATATCACAGAAACCTGGGAAGGCAACAGAAGTGTATCTCTCCAGGACTTGGACTTTTAAAATCAGAACCTACATGATGTGGAGAATGTTTGAACACTGAAGAAAACTTTTCTCCTGGAATATGGTGCCCAGTAATCTCTAGAGTTATATATGCTACCTTACTCTGGGCTGTTTCTTTTTCTCTGCCCTTAATTGAAGTTAGCAGTTGCCTCAGACACAGATACAGCTTTGCTCCTGGAAATTGTGTGAACATCACATAGAAAGCAAGACTCAAACACCACTGAAAACACCAATGGAAAACATGATATGAAATAAAATGGCAAGCTGGGCAGGGTGGCACATTCATTTAGTCCTAGCAATCAGGAATCAGGAGGCAGAGGCAGGCAGATATCTCCAGGCCAGATTGTTCTACACAGCGAGCTCCAAGCCAGCTGGTGCTGCAGGGAGACCACATCTCAAAAAATAAATAAGGGCTGGAGAAATGGTTCAGCAGTTAAGAGCACTGACTGCTTTTGCAGAAAACCCCAGGTTCAATTCCCAGCACCCACATGGCAACTAACAACCGTCTGCAACTCCAGTTCCAGGGGATCCGACAGTCTCTTTTGACTTCCACAGACAAAGCATAAGATGGGTGCATTTACACACATGCAGGCAATACACTCCTACATAAAAAATAAAAATAATAAATAAAATACTTAAATAGTAGCAGAACAAAATACTGTATTTTATAAAGTATTTCATCAGGTGAACAGAGAGAGGTAAATGCACTGTAGGACTCTGCTAAGTGTCTCATCACAGTTAATGTTTCTAAAAAGAAAAGATAGCCACAGAGAGTTTTTTTTAATATGTAGAATTTGTATTTTAAGAAACTTTTTATTGATTTGAAAATTTTATACAATATATTTTGATCATAATCAGATCCCCTATAACTTCATGTCCTCGATTATTATTTGTGGTTTTTCTAAGGCCTATCAAATCTAATCTATATTTCCCAAGTGCTCTTGGGTGTGGGTCTGTCTTTTGATTCTGGTCAATTCCAGGTGGCACATCAGTAAGTAAAACTGACTCTTCCTTTCCCTGCATCTATCAATTGCCAATAGATCCTCAGCTAGGGTTAGGACTTCCTGTCCACCTCCCCCCTCCATGCTGGGCCCATGTCTGGCCTGGGTTTGCATAGGGCTTGTGCATGCTGTCGTAAGTGCTATGAGTTCATGTGGGTTGGTACATGCAACTACCCTGTGATGTCCAGATAACACAGTTTCCATCTATCACCTTTGGCTCTTACACCTTCTGACCCTCTCTTCTGCAATCATCCCTGAGCCTTGGTTGGAGAGGGTGCCATATAAGTGACCCATTTGCTTAGGTACTTAATTGCCTGAAATCAAGCAACTCGTACTAGCTTATGAATCTCACTTCTTCATTCCTGAAGAACACAGAAAATCTTGGTTAGCAATATTTAAATAATTTTGTTTAAAATTATTCAAAGCCTTAGATGTTAACAAACATGCCAAGTCAATGTATTTCCCAAATGAAGCTGGACGATAAATATATTGAAAGCTAAACATTCTTTCTTTGTCCCTTGCCATTCATGGGAAGAAGCATTAAAGCAAAAAAACTTACGAGCTGCTTCAGTTCGACATGAACGGTGTTCAGCATCTCCATCACGTCGTACTTTTCCAATGACGTAGGCGTTGAGTGACATGTTATAAGGTGTGTAAGGTTTCAGATTTTCCATGCTATAATGGGTCACAGTGTTCTTCAAGTCTTTACAGCTTTCTTCTAAAATTAAAAAAGCAAAACAAAAGAATTTAGTAAGTTTTTGAAAGTCAAGAATCCTATATATATAATTCAGTTTCAATAATATTGCAAGCAGATTTCCAAACCATGAGTGATTAAGAAATTAGTACATACAATTATCAGAAAGTGCATTGATTCAATTAAATTATTCTAAAAGATGACTCCAATTATCTAAACTTTGATTTTATATCACTAGTTTGATAGAGTATTTAATAAACTCAGACACATTTGTGAAGATGGTCTCTTTTCTTCTTGACATAACACAGACCCCAGTGGATACTTATAGCACATGAAGTTGTACTGGTTTGGAATGGTGGTTTTTATCAAACCTTTCCTGATACTTAACTTCTGTCTGTATAGCATCAATATGAGCTACTGTTAGAGACTTTCAGGAAGAAGCCATCAGATCATCAATGACTATTTTGACACTGTACTAATAATTAGTGGGGCCATGAGAGCAAGTGAGAACTTCACTCTGACCTGCTAATGGAAAGATGAGTGGAATTGGATGAGTTAAAAGAAAACATTTTAGTAGATTTTTATGGTGCTGAGGAAACAATTCACGGATTTGTACATGACTATATAGATGAGGATGAGAGGTAAAGATTTGTTCAAGGATGACTCAAGATATAGGCAGAAGAGTCAGCATTTCTAAGTGAAAAATCCCTAGGCACTGACTGACATTTATGAGTAGAAAAGTAACATGGTAAATAAACTTTAGGTAATGTGCTACCAGTCATCAGTTATGGTGAAACCACCCATTATAAAATCAATGAACAGCTATCAGATGTGCCAAAAATGGCTTTATGTGGTATTCATGAATTAATGGATTTAACCATCACCACAACTGTAAAGTTGGTTCATGCTATATCATCTGATTTTACAGATTAGAAAACCGAGTCAGAGAAATCAAGCCATCTCTCCATGACCACAGGAAAGGCAGATGAAGCCAGAGTGGAACTTGGGTATTGAGGTTTTGAATTCATGCTCCTGGGGTCAGCATTTCACCTTCTCTCTAGGGAAGAATAGGAAGAGATGCCTGCAGCGGGGTGAAGCCGTACCCTCATCTCCATGCCACATCCTCTGGTGCATTAGGATGTGCCCTTGAGCTTTCAGGAGGAGTATCAAGAATGACCCAACACACACTTAGGTATTACAGTAGTTACTCATCTCTAAAGTGAAATTTCACCATGGGAGTCTCAATAGTAAGTGAAGGAGGTAGCTACTCTGGCCTGATTAAAAGTGTCTATTTTTCAAAGTCCCCAAAGCTGAGCTTTACTGACTTGTATCTCCTAGCTGAGTCAATAGGAAAGATATAAGTACAGAGGGTTCAGGCATCAACCTCTGACAAGTGGCTTCAACCACATTCAGGTTAATGCTTTCCTGTACTGGGATCGTATCCGAGCATCAACTTGACTTTATTTTTAGTGACCTAATTTGAGGACCTGCATAGACAATCCCACAGTCACTCTGCATCAATGTACAGTCCCATAACGCAGTTCTATGAAACTTTTGTTTTACCTGAGGAAGCAAACGTTAAATTGAACACTTTAGATTTAAACAATACATTTGAGGATTTTTATAGAAGTATGTCTACACAGAGATTTTCAGGGCTAAGAAAGTTTGAAATACTCATTTCAGATTCCTAAGAGTTTCAAGCTTTGGTTGAAAGGCTAAATGATGGTTAATCTTGGTTGTCAGCTTGGCTGGCTAGACAGATGCCTAGAAAATTGGTGAATGACACTTGTGAGTGTGCCTGTGAGGCTTTTTCACAGATAACTGGCAAACGGTTCAGTGAAATGACTGAGAAAGACCTAGATGAAGATTGCAGCACCCCATGGATGGCCTCAACAAAACAAATGTGGGATAAGGGGATCCTGTCTCACGTATGGAGGTCAGACTCTTCTGGAGTACTTGTACTTTTTCTTGTGCCGTCACCTACAGGTGTCAGATGCCACTTCATCAGACTTTGAACACAGATTTGCACTAAAACTCTCCAGAGGGATTCTGGGCTTTCAGTCCTGGATGGTGCTCCCTCTTTTCTGAGACTTCCAGCCTCTTGGACTGAACATCTGCAGCTTCCCTGGCTCTGCAGCTGGCAGACAATAAAGGGATATCCAGCCGCTGACTACGCTAGCTCATCTAATGATTGTATGAACATTCTATCAATTCTGTTCTTATGGAAAACTGATACTAACGCAGTCCACAACATTTTACATGAGCATTCTTGCCCTGTCTATATTTTCAAGCACTTTGAGGTGTCTGACATCAGAGGAACAAGTTGTATCGAACAAATGCAAAACTCATTTCAGTAGATGCTTCAATTTATTTTTTCCATAAGGCAACAGAGATACACCCACTGTCCAAGTCATGTCTATTGTTTTGGAAATGCCTGTAAAGACAATGATTTCTCTACTTGTCCTTTATCTTTTAGAAAGTATCACAAGAGATGCATAGCAACTTCCCAACTTAGACGCCTCCGAAATATGTCCATGAACAATATTTCAAACTGTATAAACATGATGATCCCTAGATGCTTGTGAATAAACTGTGACCCAATGTCCTTTGCACCCCAAAAGGGAAGGGAAAGTTGTGTTTTAAAGGCAATATGCAAAATAATTTCCAACAGCATCACTGCAGTCTGTCGAAAGGTGCGTGTTGATCTTAACAACTTTAATACTTTGAATGGAACGAAGCTGAAAATGCCTCTTCCCCAATGTCCGAAGAAGCTTCACACTCAGTGTCAAGTCAGAGACCCAAAGTTCAGCTCTTCAAGGTATAACATATAATAAACCACAAATACAACAATGGCAGAAAGTTCAGTTTAAGTGACTGAACATTTATCTTAAGTTCAGTCCCTCTGAGTTTCATTGTATGAGCACCCCTCTTGTGTAATTACACTGCACCAAAAAAATTCTTTAAGTAGGACATTATAAAATCACCTCATAAGCCAAGGAATGGAAGCACATAGTAGATACATCTTATTCCTCTTTTAATTTCTAACTTGCAGAAATTCTGAAATAATTAAATTATGAAATGTAAAAAGTGATTTTAGCTGAGTGTGGTGGTGCACGCCTTTAATCCCAGCACTCAGGAAGCAGAGGCAGGCGGATCTCTGTGAGTTCAAGGCCATCTTGGTCTACATAGTGAGTTCCAGGACAGCTGGGGCTACCGGGAGACCCTCTCTCAAAAAGAAAAAAAAATTTAAAAATTTAAAAATTTAAAAAGTGATTTTAAAGCATAGGGAACTACACATGTCAAAAACTTTGTGGATTCTACACAAGGATTTTATTTGAACTAGCGTGGGCAGTCTGAGGAATTAAAGAATGTTATGACACTTCTAAATCTCCTTGGTAGAAAAACTGGATGAGGATTTCATTCAGCACTCTGTAGACATGAGAGAGTAAACAGAAACTGAGCACGCTTTGGTGGATGAAGACTCACTGGATTGCTGTCACAGTATGTGCGCTGCAGGCTGGATTCAGGGGGGTTTTAGGCATAGTCTCAGCACTTTCTGAGTGGAGGCTGCTTTCAGTTAGCAGTGCACAGTTTTAGAGAGAAGAACACACATGATCCTGTCCAAACTCCCACCTTTCCTGTTCAACCATGTGCAAGCATTGTATTCAGATATCACTATATTTAAGTGACAATAAGGACTTTATACCAGTTGAAAATAAAATTCTTCAGAGCACTAATAGCTCATCACATCCTTCTCACCCTAATTATGAAATTCACTACAAATAGTTTTGAAAAACAATACAGAATGCAAAAAACAATATACACACTGAACCCCACCACATACCCTGATATACAAACACTGTAGTAGAGACTGTGTCAGAATGGAAATGCAGCAGAATAGAGTGGTAGATGAGTCTTAGAAAGGAAAGAAAGCCACTGTGTTCTTCTAGAAGCCAGGTTGGAAGATTAATAAACCACCTGTCCAATGAACAGATGACATCAGTAGCCCTGTTGTTTTATCTTCCTATAATTTACACTGTTCCTGTCTTATCAACCTAACGTTTGAATTATCAGAACCTCACATCTACTCTATATTTCTTCTCTGAAGTACTTAGTGTAACACAACATGTTCATTATTGTTCTTTTAGAATCTTGATTATTACTATTCTAGCAACTAGAAAAATAGCAATGCTATCCAAACATAAAGTGGTGTATGATAACAGTTCTTTACTTTTCAAATTTTGAAATTTGTTTCTGGTTCCTTGCTGTGAAACATGGAGACCGTATTCTATGAGGTAATCAGTTCATTCATACCTTAGCTTACAGAGAAAGGGCTGTGGGCAGGTGTGCTTGGAGATGCTCTATTCTTGCCCACTTCTTTCTACAAGCCTTTTAGATACTTTATCTTCTGCAGAATGTCTGTTCATTTATGCAGCCTGATTTAAAGTTAGTCACAGAACATTTTGGAAACTACATTAATTTGTGCAGTAGTCTAATCATGACTTACAATTACCCAAGTTTCACTACTAAGCTGCCTACATTGGTTAAGTAGGATCTTGTTCATTGGAATTTACACAGTAGTCTGTGTCTGCATTTTGTTTGATTGTTTGTCAGGGGTTTGAATAATGAGCTCAAAATAGTGCAAACCACTCACATAGTATTGAAGGCAGAAATTCATACTCTTTTAAAGAGATTTTTCTTCCTCTAGGATTTCAAATATAAATATTAGAATTAATTCAGATTAAGAAAAAGAATCAGATGTTGAGGATATTCTTGCTTCTCTATCTGGGTATAGAAAGCACTTGGTAAATGATAGCAATTCTGAAATGGGGGCAAGTAGGATGCCTTCAGCATTTGCACAATGAAAGTTCTGTGGGCCACTGGCTTCCACCATAATTCCAGAATTTAAAAATTCTTGATATCTTTTACCTGACAGGAAAGAAGTTCTATAAAATTACCTGTATCATTCTTATAGCATAAATGATATCCACCGGGTGAAGAAGAGCCATTCCAGGCAACCATTATTGTAGTTGCATTAACAGTCTTACAAGAAAAAGAACTGGGCTTTCCAGGAACTGTTAAAAGAAAAAAGAATACTACAATGTAAAAATAAGAAACTGATAAAGCAAGATTTATATAAAAGCCTGCATCTCCACCAGCTATCTTCTGACCAATTATGAGTTAAAAATAATAAAGCTATAAGGAAGACCTTTAGACTTTGGTATTTCCTCTAGATTAAATAATTTTTGCAGAGTATATTTCACTGCAGCGTAGCAGTGGGAAATCTAAATATTCCACTGCATTGAAGATGTCTAGGAATGCTCTCTTCTTCTTATAGATGTTATTGTTCACATATTTTGGTATTTCTTGATACTACTGTACCAAAACAGTTAAATAAAAGTTATGATGCATAACATAAAATTTACATAACAGGCACCTATTTGAAGCATAGCTTGATGTGATATGGTGAATTTATGCATCCATATAATTACCAGCCCAGTTCATGAAGGACATTTCTATCATGCTCCAAATTCCTTCCCAGTCAACTGAGCTATGTTGAGACATATCATAAGCTCTCTGATTTACTTTCTATTACTGTAGATTGACTGTACTTATTATCCATCTTATATAGAGCTAAACAGTAATAATTTTACACAAATAATACTTCATCTAGTATGACATTTTGGATGTTGATTCGTCTTGGTGCAAACGTCCTAACTCCTTTTTTGTAGTCATCAGTAAGGCCATGGGTTAAATGTTGAATGTCACGGTAAGGCCTAGTGGGAAGTCATATATAATTGGAAGCATACCCTCAAGTGGAATTGAAGGACTGCATTCTTTTCTTTTCTTTTTGCTTCATGACACACAAAATGAGTAGTTTACTTCATGACACAGCTCCCCAGCCATGGGGTCATTCAACCTTGTCCTGAAACCTCCAAGGCCATGGTCTGAATGGATCTTTTGTCTTTATCAGTTAACTGCCTCATTAGGGAAGATAGCTAATGTAAGAAATATTCAATTTGCATGTTAGGCCAAATTTTCTCCACTCTTAAACAGTTGATGGACATTTGAGTTCTTTCCATGAGTAGGGCTCATACGAATGCATCTACTTTGCCATGTAGATAAATTCTTTCTCGTAGATAGAGTCAAAATTTTAGGCCATCCATCTACATCCTCATCAACAGTATTGTTGGTATTTTTAATTTTAGCTATTCTAGAGAATGTATGTATGTGATCTTGTTGCTTTGATTTGCATTTCCCAGAGGGCTAAGGATGTTGAGCATCTTTCTCTGTGTCTAGCAATCATTAGTATATCTTTTGTGAAATGCAGAGTCAAAATGTTTGCTTACATTTGAATCGAGATATTGGATGCCTGATTTTGTAACTGAAAGGGCACTCTATATTTTGTAAAATCTTCCTTTGGGAAAAACTAAACTGTGGGAGGCTTGAGAGATGGCTCAGCGGTTAAGAGTATCAGCTGCTCTCGCAGAGGACCCAGGTTTGGTTCCCAGTACCCAAATGGTGGCTAACAACTGTCCTTAACTCCAGTTCCAGGAAATCTGACACCCTCTTCTGACTTTTGTGGCATTTTATGACATGGGTACACTTATATACATGCAGGCAATGACTCATAAACATAAAATAAAAATAATAAATAAATAATAAGTTGTGGATACTTCCCCAGAGCACATGGTTACTTCCCTGAGTCTTCTCAAAGAGGAGGTGTACTCAACAATAATTAAGTCAAATTTGTAGATTTTAAAAATGATTTTCTTGTTCTTTTGTTTCCTAAGAAAGCTTCCCTACTCTGAAGGCACAAAGATATTCCCACATTTTTTTCATTAGGTATTTCATAATTTTAGCTTTTAGATCTATAAAACATTTATATGTGTATTAAGAGAAGTAATGGCTAATGTCCATTTTTCCTATAAGGATATCAAGTCAATTAACTGAAATGACTCCACTGAAATATTTTTGTACTTTTATCAAATATAAAAATTATTTTTCTAAGATTCTTATTTGGTTACCCTAATGTATAAAGCCTATATAATATTAGTTTTCAATTAATTATTTATTTACTTGTGCATATGTGTATGTATGGGAGTGCATCTGGAGAGCAGAGGACAGCACACAGAATTTGGTTCTCTCTTTCCACTGTGTGCGCTGGGAATTCAGGTCATCAGATTTGGCAGTAAGTGCTTTACAGCTTGAACTATCTCATTGACCCTAATCTTGGTTTTTAATGCCCACAAATGTATGAAAATTCTCTAGTCATGGTACAGTTTTATTTACTCTCCTTATACTTTATATTATTTTGGAGAATTAGGTGTAGACGTAGAATTAGGTATCCCCTTATTCCCCAGCTATGAAAAATGTATAGTCATTTTGGTCTTTTATAAAAAAATTCTTATAACATAGTAATAATAACAAATTCTATACAATGGCAGATTGTAAGATCAATACTGAAAAAAATTACATTTTTTTTGTCTTTTTGAGATAGGGTCACCCTGTAGCCCCAGCTGTCCTGTAATTTATTTTTACATTAATAATGAACAATCCAAAAATTAAATTTAGAAAAATATTATTCAAAGCAGAAAAAGACCACACCAGGAATAAATTTAATAAAAAGTACAAGACCTGAAAATAGTAAAACATTATGTGGGGCCGCTTCACCTTCCTGAGACCTCCAGAGTCACCCGATAAGGAACGGAATATACAAAAAATGTGGGATACCATGAAAAGAACAAATACACACATCAGAGGCCTAGAGGAAGGAGAAAAGCTCAGGTCATGTTAATGACCTGATCTTCAAGAGGATTATAGATGAAAATTTCCTTCAATTAAGGAAAGTCATAAATGCACAAATTCAAGAAGCACATAGAACAGCAATTAGACAGGACCACAACAGAAATTTCCCATGGCATAACATGGTAAAATCATTAAATGTAAAGACAAAAAGCATACTGAAAGCTGTTAGAGAAAATACGTACAAAAGAAAATCCATCAGATTTACAGTTTGACATATCAGTGCAAAATATAAAAGGTGAAAGAGCCTGGAGCAAAGTATTCTAGCTAAAGTGTTCCAACTTCTAAATGACAATAGATGCCAACCCAGAATACTTTCCTGCCCAATTCTAAAAGACAAAAAATGCCAACCCAAAAAACTTTCCCCAACAAAAACTTTTTTTCAAGACAAAAAAAAAAAAAAAAAAAAAAAAAAAAAAAACTTCCATGATGCAAATAAGCTGAAAAAATTCATGTCAACCAGACCAGCCCTACAGAGAATACTTAAAGCAATTCAAAGGACTCAAAAAAAATGACCATACTAAAGAGGTTACAGAAAGAAAAAAATGAAAGAATAAAATATGGAAACATAAAATAAGACTATGAACACAGACAAAAAGTAAAATGACAGTAACGAAAACAAACCTTTCAATAATAACTATAAATAGTTATTACCCATCAAAAGACAGACTAGTTGAATGGATTAAGAAACAAAATCTATTTTATTTTATTTTATTTTTTTGTCTTTTTGAAATATAGTTTCCCTGTGGTCCCAGTTGACCTGGAACTCACTTTGTAGACCAGGCCAGCCTTGAACTCAGAGAGTCCCAAGTGTTGGGACTACAGGTGTGCACCACCATGCCCAGCAAAAATCCATCTATTTTTTGTCTGCAAGAAACTCCCCTTACCTGCAAATATAGGCACCACCTTATGATGAAAGGATAGAAAAAATGGCACTAAGCAAAAAGCAGAGTTGCTGTTCTAATATCTGGCAAAATAAACTTCAAGTTGAGGTTAATCCGAAGAGCTAAGGAATGTCATTACATTCTGATCAAGGGAGCAATTGGTCAAGAAGAGATAATAATTATGAGGATATATGAACCAAACTCTGGTGCACACAATTTCATTAAAACAGTACTACCAGACTTCAAGACACAGATTAAATCCAACTCAATAATAGAAGGTGACTTTAATACCCTACTCTTGCCAATAGAGAGGTCTACTCAGTAACCCATGGAAATTTCTCTAAATTAGAACACAAACTAGGTCACAAAACAAACCTCAAGAAATAAAACTGAAATAATTTCCGGGTATTCTATCGGACCACAATGCAATAATAATTAAAAGTAACAGCAAAAGAATCCTTAGTAACTAAACATAAACTCATTGAAACTAAACAACACACTCTTTAATGATGAATGAGTCCAAGAATAAATTTCAAAAGAACTAAAAGTATTCTTGGAACTATATTAAAATGTTAACACAGCACTATAAAACCCCTGAGATTAAAAGCATTCCTGGGCTCAGGAGATGGCTCAGCAGTTGGGAGCACTGGCTGCTCTTGCAGAGGACCCTGGTTCAAATCCCAGCATCCACATGGCAGCTAACAACCATCTGTAACTCCACTTACAGAGAATCTGATGCCCTCCTCTGACTGCTAAAGGCATTGCACTAATGGGTGTACATATCTGTAGGCAAAATACTCATACACATAAAAAAATAAAAATAATAAATAAAATATTTTTAAACTATTCCTAAGATGGAAATTTATAGCTCTAAGCACCTTCATTAAAAAAAAATCAGAAAGAACACAAATTATTGACTTACTGGTACAACTCAAGAATTTGGAAAGGACAAACCAAACCCAACAGATGAGAAAAAATAATAAAAATCAGAGCACAAGTCAATGAAATAGAAACAAAGAACATAATACAGTGAATCTAAGAACTGGTTCTTTGAAAAAAAAAAGATAGACAGACCCTTAGCCCAGCTAACCAAAAGAAAGAAAGAGCAAATCCAAAAATATATATCAGAGACATAAAAGGAACCATCACAACAGAAATAAAAAAGATCTAGAATGTTTTAAGTGAATACTTTAAAAATCCATACTCTGTTAAATTAGAAAATCTAAATGAAATAGATGAATCTCTGAATTCAATGCAGCCACCAAAGTTAAAACAAGAAGAGATCAACAGTTTAAACATAAAACAAACAAGGACATAGAAACAGTAATACAAAGCCTCCCAACTAAAAGAAGAGATGAATTGGCAGCAGAATTTTTTAAAATTCT